GGGACCTTAAAGCCCATCCAGTTCCAACCCCCCTGCCACGGGCAGGGACACCTTCCACTAGACCAGGTTGCTCCAAGCCTCATCCAGCCTGGCCTTGGACACTTCCAGGGATGGGGCATCCACAGCTTCTCTGGGCAACCTGTTCCAGTGCCTCACCACCCTCTCCGGGAAGAATTTCTTCCTGATATCCAATCTAAACTTCCCTGATTTCAACTTGTACCCATTACCCCTTGTCCTATCACTACAGGCTCTTGTAAAAAGTCCTCTCCCAGCACCCTTGTAGGCCCCTTCAGATACTGGAAAGCTGCAATGAGGTCTGCAATTTAGACTTTATGTATAAAACTTAGGCGTTAAAAAGAGGCGTAACGATGGATTGCTGCTTAAACACCCGAAGAAACTCATTTTGCAGATCTCCCAGGATGCCGGGCTCCTGATGATACAGGCAAGAACCCACATAGGAAAGACTTCCAGAGCCTTATCTCAGACCTGAGGGTGTGTGCTGCTGGAGGAGCTGGTGGTTAGGAACTGGTGCCTAGTCCCCAGGGTGCAGCACTGTGGCATGGGGCAGACCCAGGATCCCACCACAGCCCTCCTGGGAGCTGCTTTCTGGCTGTACCCTTCCGGGAAGGCTAGGCATTTTGGGCTGCACCCTCATGGGGCTTTTATCCCGGGGCTCAGTCACACCTGAACTGCTCCGGAGCCACGTTTGCCTGCCCCCAGTTTTGCTTATCCTGTGTTATGCATCCTTTGAAACCTTTACTGACGGAGGGCTGTGGAGATGCTTCCAAAACGCCGCTGTTAAAGCGCGGAGAGGAATGTTGCAATGAGATGTACTGGTTTTACCTTTGTGTTCGTGGGCATTGCTGTTACCTTCTGCCAAGTCTCATGCCCCAGCCCTGCAGTAGGGTTTTGTACTGGAAAGCTGACAATTTGCTTGGTGTTTTGTTTCCTGTTATTTCAGGTCTGGTTTAGGGTCTTTTGCCCCTCTGACCTGGGACCCCATTCATTTCTAGCTGTCACCTTATCTTCCACCTTCTTTCCTCTTATCAACCTCAGCTGTCTCTTTCCTTACTTATTTCAACCTACTGTCATCTTTGGATGATGCAACTGAGCGGAATTTATAACCTGGAGGCAGGACGCTGTGCCAGGGTTTGAGGGAGAAAAGGCTGCAGTGGGTCAGACATCGTCACCAGCAGATGTGGCAGAGGGCACGGAGAGAAAAGAGCAAGAAAGACAGACTAATATCTCCCTTATGCTCACAGCGTTTCGTACCCTGCCTGTTTCTTGGAGTGATATATGGCACAAGCCTGTTATCTCTAGGCACTGCGTGACTAATTGCAAAGAGGTGTTTGTGACTAGAACAGTTGTTTAATTTCTTGATAACTGCTAGATAAAGAATTTTTTTTTTGCCTAAAACGAATGCTGTCACACCCTCGCATGTAAGAAAGCTGGAATGAGAAGACTTTACCATATTAGTGCTCCAGCAAAGTGGTCCAGCTACGATACCTTTCAGTAATGTATTTGGTCTATAGTAAGAATTTGCATAAATCATAGAATCACAGGGTGGTTTGGGTTAGAAGGGACCTTAAAGACCATCTAGTCCCAACCCCCCTGCCATGGGCAGGGACACCTTCCACTAGACCAGGTTGCTCAAAGCCTCATCCAGCCTGGCCTTGAACACTTCCAGGGATGGGGCATCCACAGCTTCTCTGGGCATTATGAAATCACTTATAATGAGTTGTGAAATTGTATGTTAAGCCATATATTTACAGCTGTCAGCCTTTTTGAGGAAGGGATCTTGGAGAGGCTGTGTTTAACCAGTTAGTTAACCAGGGAGGAGCTTGTCTTTAATTCTCAGTTCAAGGTAGCAGAAAGCCAGAGAAAGCGGTTTTAGTACGTGGGTCACTCGGGTAGTGCATTATTGCCTCAATGTTGTGGTTTGGCTCATCATCTTGTGGTACAAAGTCAAATCTCTGAGGCACTGTCAGACTGCTGGGATCCCCCGAAACCTGGTTTGAAAACTCTCTCTTAGATGTGCGAATCAAATGGTGGCAACGTAGGTAGGTTTCTAGGAATCCAAGTTCTGGTTGTCCGAAGGTTAGCATCCAGGTTGAAGCCTTGGCTGGCAAATGGCTGCTCCCTTGTGCCTTACTAATCCATGCAGGTTTTACTGACAGATCCGTGTGCCTCTCTGACTAAAATGGCTTGCTGTTCGATGGCTAGGATTCTCCACAGATTAAACAGGAACTGGGACGCCAACCGCACCTGCTTTGTTTAATCAATTTCTTCCTTTCTCTAAGGAGAACTCTACTATTAGCAGACAACTGCAGCAGTGATTGTGCTACTCTTTGCTGCCTGAGCCATGCTATCTCCACATTTTCCTTCTAGGCTGCTGAAAGAGTGAAATAAGAACTGTGTAACTACCATGTCTGTGACTTTAGTTGGAAAGTGGTAGCTCAAATACATAATTTTCCTTTTAATTTGTCCTTTTAAGTCTGACTCTTACAAGCTAAGTTGTATCTGTCTTGAATGTGATACCAGCTGAGGACAGTCTGCACTGCTCCTGAGGCCCCTTACCTCAATACCCCATACCCCTGGTCAGGGTCTTTTCGCACAGGGGACCTCTGCTGCTTCTGCAACATGAAGAGGTGCAGTAAAGCCCGAACTTGCTTGGGAGGTAGGAACGCAGTAACTTAGTTAAGAGCACGTAGATGGAACATACTGGTTAAAGCTTATCGTGCAGTCACCAGCAAGTCTGGGTGTTACCTTGTCTCCTGGGAACAGCCTGGGGGTACCTGTACTCCCAGTACCTGCTAGAAACAAGCAGCGAAGTCCCTGATGTTTAGCTTTAAAAAACTGCTTTAAAAGAAAGCAATTACTAGGCTTTCTTGTCAAACCTCATCATCCCTGGAAGTGTCCAAGGCCAGGCTGGATGAGGCTTGGAGCAACCTGGTCTAGTGGAAGGTGTCCCTGCCCATGGCAGGGGGGTTGGAACTGGATGGTCTTTAAGGTCCCTTCCAACCCAAACCATTCTATGATTCTATGATTTTAGTTGCATATCTTTGTTTTCATGGGTACCTATCATAAAACTATCAATTTGTCTTGTTCCCCAGTAACACTGCCCACTGAGCCAAAAATTAAGTCACAACATTGACATGTATCTTAATGTTCAACAGCTGGAGTGTTTCAGCAAGGAATCTGGTGCTGTTTTATAATCATAGAATCACAGACTGGTTACTGTTTTTATAATCACAGAACGGTTTGGTTTGGAAGGGACCTTAAAGCCCATCCAGTTCCAACCCCCCTGCCATGGGCAGGGACACCTTCCACTAGACCAGGTGGCTCAAAGCCTCATCCAGCCTGGCCTTGAAGATGGCCAGGGATTTAATGTTTTCATGCTAGTTAAAAATATTTTACTGAGAAAGTAGGGCTTTCAAGTGAAGTTAATCACTTGCTTTTTTGCAGTACGTATCTTGCATGCTGGGAATTTTTTCTAAAGGGAATGAGTTTAAGCAGTTGCAGCAAGTTGTTCCTCCTGGGCCAGTTTCCACTGTTTGAGTAATGAGTTAGTCATTATGCTGTAACTTGTGGAGTGATCTTATCTTTAAATATATACCATAAGCTTTCCAGATCCTGTGCAAGGCAGAATTTCCCTAATGTCAGGGATCCACTCTAATCTGCTGCCTGTGGCTTACTGGAATGCTGGAATTGCGCAAACTCTCCTCTCTGCCCCCGCACATCCGAGTAAGATACAGGACTCCTGTTCCAGGGCCACGTGAATTTCCATTTGAACCCCAGCCTGACTTGCCCAAAGCAAACACAGTTCTGAAAACTACTCTGTATTTGGTTTTGGAAATCCGCTGTGGATCCGTATGTACTTGGTTTTGGAAATCCGCTGTGGATCTTACATACTCCTTATCAGAACTCAGATTATTTTCATGCTGCTACAATACAGACAGCACAGAAATACCAAAGCTTTTCTTCCAAAGAAGTCTCTAGATGGAAACACCACGGCTTTTCTTCCAAAGAAGTCTCTAGAAGGGCAGGCTAAATGATAATTGCATTGATTTTGCTCTAACAGGTTTGGCACGATACTTACCACTGCACTGTCACCTCCGTTTCTCTGACCGGGGTGCTCTGAACTGGGGGACAAGCAGTGCCTAATGCAAAGCACGCTGCTGCTACAAGCCTGAATTCTTCTCGGCATCACTTGCCCCAAACGTAGCCCGTACTCTGGTTTTAAACCTGTAGCATATAGCTGTCAGCAAGGCAGAAGACTGTCTGCAAGGTTTAACGTGGGCTGGGCAAACACATCCTGAAAATAGCAGGAAAAGGACTAGGAACTTTTTTCCGTGTTGTAGCACGCGACCGGGAGAGAGGAATTATTATATTGGACTATTCGTTGGAATGAAAATTGGTTTAGATGGAGTCAAACACCCAAACTTTTGCCAAGAATATGGCCTCTGACAACCTTGGAGCCAAGTATCAGAAACCAAAATGTGCTGCGGGTTTAGGTGCTCAGGGAGGAGGGGTTCCGAGCCCTGCGCGCAGGGCCTGTCTTCTCCCATCGTGGCCTGACCGGGGAAGGGAGTGAGATGGCAGAGAAGGACCCCCCTCTCCTTCTGCAGGATGAGAGGAGGGCTGCGGTAAGCCTGCCTCCTTCCTTAAACCCTCTGCCACCCAGTCCGTTCCCTCGCCCTGCGAGAGCAGAGACGCCTTTTCGTCCGGGTGACGCCGGTGGTGACCGCTGTCACCAGGTCCTGGCAAGGAGGTTCTGCTGTAGTAACAAGTAGGATTATTTGTATTGTAACAGATTATTGCAGACCCGTTTTGCAAATGCTTAGTCATCACACATCTTAAAAAAATGTGGGTGTTATTGCCAAATGTTCAGTTCTGAAGCTTTTCAGGAGAAAGCAATTTCCTTCCGAATACCTGACTGCTGAGGTTTTTTGTTTGTGGGGTTGTTTTGTTGTTGTTTGGGTGTTTTTTTTTTTTTCCAGATCCAGCCCTATGAGAAGATAAAGGCCAGAGGATTGCCCGATAACATTGCTTCTGTCTTGAACAAGCTGGTGGTTGTGAAACTAAATGGCGGCTTGGGCACGAGCATGGGTTGTAAAGGCCCAAAAAGCCTTATCGGGGTGCGGAATGAGAACACCTTCTTGGATCTGACAGTTCAGCAGATTGAGGTAACTTTTGATGGGCTTTTGCTACACTGGAGGGAAGCAAGGCACGCTAATCTTCTCTGTGACCCTTTGAGAGGTGACGGTGGAGGCTTGCCAGAAGGAAGAGGAGGGGGAAGTGAGGTCTGGTCACGGGATGTGGAGAATTGCTTTAGAAAGAATAGGCCTGAAAGGGACAGGGCAGTTAGTGACTGAACTCTGGCCACTCCACACCAGTTAGCACAAGTGTAATTCAGCCTGTGCACACTGACCCATCCGGTGGTGACTGTGTCAAGAAACACAAGCAGTCAGACTGTAGAGCTGGCTTGGCCTGGCTAACTCCTGGGCTTATTTCACACCCCTCCAGGTCCAAGCTCAAGTTTTGCCTTCTAAAAGCTTTTTTAACGTGCGCTAGAACAAAGCTCTTCACAGCAGCCCCAGGTTCCTTGTCCAGTGAAAACTCTTGAGGCTGGAAGTGGTCGCTGGCATCTTCCTCTTTAGAAGGAAAATACCAGGTGCTGGTGTTGAGAGTTCAGCTTATGCTTTCAATGGCGAATATTCCTCTCGCAGCAAAGATGGTCACCAGAGTAGGAAGTAGGGTGTGCCTGTCCCATAGCTTCTCCAGCTCCAAGGGTTTTTGCCTCGCTGTGGTGCTTGGTTGGAGTGACTCTCACATGTAAATTTATATCCAGCTAATGCAGACCTAATCCTTGGCTTCTTGCGGGCGCTTTCTCAGAGGTGTCCTTATGGAAGTCTCCGACTCCACCAGAGGGTAATGATCCCAAACACTCCCCAACAGATGAGCTGATATACAAAGCTTTGAACTCACGGAAGTGTCATGTTTCTGCACGCTCTGTTTTTGGTGGGACCCTGCCACATTTTCTCATTTTTGCCTTTGCTGTGCTGTCCATGTGGAAATGCTCTTGGGTAGTTCAGCTCCGCTTTAGAGATGCCCAAATAATTAACACTGTGACATTTCCTTATGGACTCTTGATACTGTTGTCCAGCTTGTAGCATGCCAGAAAGGCTCAAAAGTACATGCTGGGAAGAGGTTTTGAAACTGTACCCCGACAGACTTGAGTAATTTGGGGAAAAACATGCCTTTTGCAATCAACAACAGTCTGAAATTTAAAATAATCCTTTTGTGGTGTCATGCTTTTCAAATTTTTAATCTCAGTGTGGATTTAAAAACAAAGGTTAATTATGTGTTAATTAACACCTTATCTTTACTAGTTACAAAGATTTGTTTTCCTTTACCTGATTCATTATCCATTCTGTTGGCAGAAGCATCTCTCTCATATCTCATGCATTTATTATTTCCCATCCGTTTTATCTAATAATTTATTTCTCCCAAAATCTTAAGTATCAGGAGCTAAAGCTAACAGCACACGCTGAATTCACCATTTCTTTCCCATCTCAGCATTTAAACAAATCCTACAACACCGATGTTCCTCTTGTTCTCATGAATTCCTTCAACACCGATGATGACACAAAGAAAATCTTGCAGAAATACAGTCACAGCCGTGTGAAGATTTATACTTTTAACCAAAGCAGGTATCAAAAAAAAAAACCTTCTCCGTTCGGGGCGAAAGGCAAAACGAGCTTGTGTTTCTCCGTATCCCAAATGGTGTGGGTTTTTCGTTTGAGCTGCTGAGGCAGCAGTAGTGTCTTCTGTACTCGTGTTCAGTCTCTATTTTGGGCCTCTTTAAAAGACTGAAACATCAGGGTGTTAAGCAGAATCGAAGGCCATATATTCATGTTGCCCCCTCCCTGCCAGGCTGGATGAGGCTTTGAGCAACCTGGTCTAGTGGAAGGTGTCCCTGCCCATGGCAGGGGGGTTGGAACTGGATGGTCTTTAAGGTCCCTTCCAACCCAAACCGTTCTGTGATTCTATGTTAGGCAGAAGCGAGTGGGGGGTGGGGGTCTGTTTTTTAAGAAATGTGTGAGTAATGGCGTACTGGGTGCTGGCCACTTGATTCCCTAATTTGCTTTTCGGGTACCTGGGCTCTGGAGGAGAACAGACTATGGCTTCCTGATCAAAACAAACCCTGAAGTGGCTGATGCTGTCAGGGGTGTGCTTGGCATGCTCTGAGCCTGCGTGTCGGTGGAAAGCTGTTCTGCAGCACGGTCAGGGACTGCGGCCGTAAGTCCTTACGGAGAGATCGCGTTCTGCGGCTTCTCAGCGACGGCTCGGCATGGGGCTGGGTCTTCCAGTGCAGCGTACTGACGTAGCCTCGGAAGCTGTGTGAGAAAGGCCGCCTTTACTACTGCGTTTTGGTTGTCTTCATGCCAGCTGGTGAGAGCCTAACGAAACCCCTTGTCTTCCTAGGTATCCTAGAATTAACAAGGAAACTCTGCTGCCCATAGCCAAGGACGTGTCTTACTCAGGAGAGAATACAGAGTGCTGGTATCCCCCAGGCCACGGAGATATCTATGCCAGCTTCTATAACTCTGGTCTGCTGGATAACCTCATTGGAGAGGGGAAGGAATATATTTTTGTATCCAATATAGATAACTTGGGTGCCACCGTGGACCTTTACATCCTCAACCACCTCATGAACCCACCCAATGGAAAACGCTGTGAATTTGTCATGGAAGTCACAAACAAGACCAGGGCGGATGTGAAGGTAAGGGGAGATTGTCACCGGCACGTTGGTGAGAATCTCGGCCTTGCATCGCTTCCGCGTGCACGAACTTGAACACGCCTTACGTCTTCCTTACAGCTATTTATTTGAGCTGCACAAAATCAGCAGGTCAGGAAGTGCCAATTTGTGGAAGAAACTGGATGTAGGTTCTGGGCAGCAGCGTACGAGGACAGCCCGGACTTGACCGATTACTGAAAACACAAGTGTTTTCTGCAGGCTGCTGTTCACAACCCTCACACCCTCCCCAGACTTAGAGGAGGGATGTCTGGGGATGCTTACAGCAGACTCCGTGGGGCGGGATACAGCAGTTGCATCTCTGCTGACTGAAAACTGCCCGGCCGTTGCTCAGCTTGGCGTGGTTGCCGTCCTGCTCCTGTTCAACCTTGTGCAAACTCCGGGTGCGACAGCTCGGCAGCTGGTTACAACCTGGATCAAATATTCCCAGTGGGCAGTGATTTGTCCTGTAACTGCGCTTGGGCCCTGTTCTTTTAAATACGAGGATGGGGATGAAACGTGACTTTCTCTGTGTTCATTGAAGTTGTAAAACCACAGAAACGCACTGGAAGAATTGGGTCACTGAAGTGCTGCTGGTTTCTCCAGTAAGTGCCACAAACCAGAACTACTGAATTTAACTTAGATTTTGTTGGTAGCCTAGCAGAGCACTGCCGAAGGTGATTTCTGGTAACAGCAGCACTTGCAAAAGACTCCAAGCGACTTTCACTAGAAGAATTAACTGTCTTTGGAGTGCTGAAACATGATCGTTAGACAGTTCTGACTGTACTTTAAACATACTCTATAATTAGTAACCTGGTAGCTGAACGCAAACAACATGTTTTCACCGAGGTTCAACTTTAAATGCCAACAAAACAGTCTGTCTCTTCGGCGGGGAGGAGGTGGGGTTGGTTCTCTGGCATGTCACGGACAGGACTTGATGCTGCTGCTTTGACCCCTGCAGGGTGGCACGCTCACGCAATACGAAAACAAGCTGAGGCTGGTGGAGATAGCTCAGGTCCCAAAAGCACACGTGGATGAATTCAAGTCTGTGTCAAAATTCAAAATCTTCAATACCAACAATTTGTGGATTGCTCTGTCTGCGATTAAAAGGCTGCAGGAGAAAAACGCTATTGACATGGAGATCATCGTTAACCCAAAGGTAATCAGACAGGAGGATTTTGGAGGAAACTGACTCAAAGGAACTGTTCGTTTGTAGGTAGCTGAACAGGGGCTGCTGCCCTCAGAGAGGAACCGGTCTGTGCGTAACTGCCGAGCTCTGACTTGCTTGTCCCTAGTTCCGAGTGCCGTTACCTGCTGGTTGTGTTTACATCAGTTTTCTCTTCCAGACTCTGGATGGAGGCTTGAATGTTATCCAGCTGGAGACTGCAGTTGGGGCTGCTATTAAGAGTTTTGAGAACTCTTTGGGGATAAACGTACCTCGTAGTCGTTTTCTGCCTGTTAAGACCACATCAGATCTCTTGCTTGTGATGTCTAATTTGTACAGCCTTAATGCTGGATCTCTAACGATGAGCGAGAAGCGTGAATTTCCAACCGTGCCTCTTGTCAAACTGGGAAGTTCTTTCACAAAGGTAAACTCCCATAATTATACTTTGGTTTTCTCTCTCTGAATAAAAATACAGTCCATAGCAGTGAGTTTATCGACCTCTGCCCACCCGGGTGTTCCCCTTTACGCTCTGCAACGAACCGTTAGGCTGTTGAACTGTTAGGCCTACAAACGAGGTAGCACGCATGCGTAATGCCACACTGCTGTTGGCTGCCCCTTTACCCCATCGTCGAGCCAACGAAGGGGGAGGCGTGATTTGGGTTGTGTGCGCGCTCCAGAGCCTGCCCCGCTTTGGGATACTGCCCTTGTTGCTTCTCGTAGGTATCCCTGACAGGAGGGACAACACCACGTTGCTTTCAAAGTAGGGGCTTTTATACTTGCCAGGTGTAGATTCCAGAAAGGAGTTTTCAAGACGCTTCCACGCTTGTCTTAACCCACTGATGGATTTTTAAACTGTCTCTATTCCTTCCTCCCTCCAAAAGGTACAAGATTACCTGCGGCGGTTTGAAAGTATACCAGATATGCTGGAGCTGGACCATCTCACAGTTTCAGGTGATGTTACATTTGGGAAGAACGTTTCACTAAAGGTGAGTGTGTAAGCACAGGCTGTTCCTGCACAAACGTGACTGATCTCTGCTCCTTGGTAACCAATCCTGGTTGAGTCAGTGCCTCTACGCACAGTCTGTCACTGAACGGTGACCCTCGTGGAGGAGCACACGGTGTCACCGTTACAGCTGCTTCTCTGTAGAGTCCCAGGGAGCGCTGAGGTTTGTCCCTCAAGGAAAACACCACGGACCTTGTAACTCTGGCCAAAGCAACGCGTGTCTTTGGCCTTTCGCCTTGCAAGGCACATACCACCTTGCCTCCCCTAATAAATCAAGAACCCCCAAACAGCCTGCGGCTGTTTCTCATCCCTTTTGGCGTTCTTGATTTATTAGTAAACGTTGGGTCTGAGGAAGCTAGTTTCTCTTTCAAATTCTTTCTTGAGATCTGGACACTCCTTGCAGAACATCATCGTGGTCCTGTAAAGGGTCGCGGCCAGTTTACCTGCTGACAGATGGGTGCAATGTGGGGCTGCAACAGCCAGCACTTGAACGGGCTCAGGGCTGGTACCAGACTGCCATGAGGCAGCTGGGCAGG